AGTGACCTATCTTGGCTAGTGTTCTAATGGACAAGTATTTTGTAAATACAGTCACATTTTGGTTATAATATATTAAATATTCAAATACATTATTGGGTGATACACGTGTCTTGTTGCTTGTTTCTTGGTGATGCTCCTTACATAACCAAGTTCTGGTTTATCAATTCTCAAGGCTTATTTCGTAACACAGGCATCCTCTTGTCGCCTCTTTTCCTTTTTATATATATCCTTGACTACTTGCTTATACTAAAAACCCTTAAATTTTTATTATATGTATTTTCAAGTACTAAAACTCTGAAACAATTTATAAAATTTCCTTAAAAATTTTCAAGTTGCTTCAGTTCAATTACTTGAGAACACCCTTTGAGGAGACAAATTATTCTCCTTATCTCTGTTAAACTGTGAAACTCACTTTAAAATATTGCCCTTTAAGGCTAAACTAACAATCACACAGTCTAACTTCACTTTCACTAACTTAACGTTTTTCCAACTTACATAACTTCACTTGTGCTTACTTAGTCGACTATATATATATATATATATTGTCCAACTGAGGAAAAAACTTTCTACAAACTACGAGACACTATGATGTAACAATACTCACTTAAAGGCAGCAATAAAAATACAGAAAATTCGTGTAATGTGACGTCAATTTACAACAATTGAACTACACACACAACATACGAATCTCACCAAGTTACGTAACGAAATTTGTCATAACTATCGCTTTTAAAATAATCAATTTTTAACACTCTTGTTATAAAAACTAAATAATCATTAAATATTAGGTCACTAAATGAACTAAATAATAACTCTTACACTAAACAGTCTTGTATATCTGACAACACTTGATGACTAGTCCTCCACGAGCTAATCGATGTTGACTAGAACAGATTTTAGGTGGCTGGCAATAAGTGGCAGGAATTCCTTCCACTATGATGGTTGCTTCATTGTTCTTGTTGCTGGAGTAACTGACTCTTGAGTGAGTGTTTGGTTCTGCAGTGGCATTAACATTAGTGAATGGTCCTGCTGGTGGAATGTTCTAGATAGTTTTCTCTTCATATAGCTTAATTGGTGAGTCTTGACTGCTGGTGGATGAGGTACTGAAGTCGAGCTCATTGTCAAAAGGTGATGGTGGTCATTTCTTCTACTACAGTTGCTAGCAACTGGACTTAAGATGATACGTTCTCATAGTTCTGCAATGAACTGGTTAGTAGTCCTGAAAAGGATTGATTATTTCACAACAAAAAATTATTCTATTCTGTAACAATGAATTGTGAAAAGAAAATAAAGCTTGATCGTATTTAGTGGCTTACCTCAACTTTTCTTCAGTACTTACCTACTGGAAAAGCCTAAATTGAAGAGTGAGGGAAAACATATCCTTTCTCCTTGAAATATCTTATCAATCCCCAAAACAACTAACGTATTTGTGTTCCCACCACTGTTGTGTTTAATGTATCCCAGCTGGCCTGAAGAGCTCTGGATTGAGCAAACACGTAGTTGGCAGTGGATATTACAAATATAGTGTGGTGGAATACTATTGTTACGACAGCAAAGGTCACGTGACGCTAGTAACACGTCATATTCTCGAAGGTTCATGAAGTCTCGAGAGGTTACTAGATATGTCGTAGTCTTGTATATATAAGCAACCAAGAAGTAATGGCAACAATGTGTAATTGACAGTTGAGTCGAGCACGTGAGACGTTCGTTGTGAATTATAGCATTTGTTATAGCACGACCGTGGAACTTAAGTGTATTGCAAACTTGTATTCAGAAAGAATAAACCAGTTTTACTTAAGAAAGGACTTGTGTCGCTAAAGTTTCATCGGAAAGAAATTATACGGAAAATTAACTAACGACCAGAGACATAACAAATTGGTGTCAGAGAGTGGGATAAAAAAATGGAAACGAGAAGCGGCAAATCAAACTACAGCTTAGCAGATTTGATGGCAGCAATACAAGAGCAGCAAAAGAAACAAGAAGAACGAGAAATTAAACAAGAAAAAAAGAACAAGAACAAGAAAAGAAACAAGAAGAGAGATTACAGCAGCTGTTGGAGGAAAAAGAAAAGAAAC